CCGCGGAGTCGGCGCCTATGTAGGTATAAAAGTTAATAGTAACTCATTAAATCATTCTTTTATAATAAATATTTTATCATTATTATTGTTGCTGAAGTATAACGCTTATAGATTAAATAATTTGTACCCCAGATGAGCTTATTATCACCAATTTCGTGCTAGGGAATAAATTCGTGTCCACGTAGCTCAACAATTCAAAATGACAATTGTTTATTTTAAAGATTTCAGTTGGTCAGAGTTGGACAGTCTTACAGAATATGATTATAAAATAGTTATTCAGATTCAATCTAATTTTCTGTATTGTATTATATTTTATTATTTAGCTAGTAAAGCTATTGTATATAACGTTAAAAATTAGCAACAGTCATTAAATTCGTATATTATCAGAAAAGTGATTTTGAGAGTTCAGATAATAGGTTTTTGATAATTGAATCAGTTATTTTAAAGACCCACTATTAACAACATTAAAATCAAAATCGCATATTTTTYACTAATAATATCTGTTCATGACTGGTTCAGGAATAAGAAATAAAATTATTTTTTACYACCCACCCTAATAGTACTCTCCATTTCGGATTGATTTATCCCCGGAAACGCTGAGTAATTTACCTAGTAAAGTAGTAATATAATAAACGTATTGTTTTATATATTTAAATATTATACACGTTAACACCTATGTTGCCCGGCGTGTTGTATAGGCAAACAAAAGTGCATATTTTGTTCATAATTACATTAAAACTCATTGCAAGTGCTCTTTGTTCGATGACAATAAGAAGTTGCGCACAAATGCACAATCCAAAACCGATTGTACCCCGTCAGTCAAATCAACACTTCTCGGCTTTACGCGAAGTGATATCATATTATTCAATATTCTCCACTGAACGAAGAATAGTACCTATGCAAGTGTAAAAGTATAATACAATATTTATTCGATACTGTGTACGCAGTTAATAATCGGAAATCGGAATATCTAACTACGACAACAAGAGTTAAGTCTATGAAAAAAGTTTAAAATAATAAAAATAGACAAACAATAATCATATTAATTCTAAAACATTATTAAATATCAATTAATGCTATRGCAACTTGTTATTTTTTTAAATTATTACTCAGAAGTAGATAAGTCTCATACTTATTGAATAAGTCCTATTCACATACTTTATCGCTTTTTTATACCAACTTTTATTTAAATTAAGTATATTTATGTGCACACTTATT